GAACCTGCGATCAATTAAATTCAATATCTGACCGGCGGATAACTTCAAAAAACTAGTCACGTCAATGAGTTGTGCACTTGAGCCCGTGATACAGTCATGTGACACTGGTAAGCGAATACCTTTTTCGACAGCTAACAATGAGAGATTTTCCAGTAATCGGAGACCCATGTTTTGTGCACAGGATTAGGGGATCGCCAGGGGGCAAACATTGCCAGTCGCTACAAAGAAACGTATGGCGCGAAATTGTTTCTCCGTTAAGTGCTGATACACCTGCGGGTATAGCTGACCTGTTTAACAGGTTTTTTTGCCTCTGTATTTACTATCGACAACGTAGTGGAGAAGACAGCGTGCATACGTTTGGACACTATTATATCCGATCTAACTCTCAATGAGTCCACGGTTCTAGCTGCACTCAAAGCACTAGAAGTCGGTAAAGCTACAGGGCCGGACGAAATCCCTGCTAAATTGCTCAAAGAGACTGCCTCAGGGATTGCTCCTTCCTTATGTAAGATCTTCAACAAATCACTGCAACTAGGGTCTCTCTCGAGAGACTGGAAACTAGCTAACGTCGTGCCTGTCCACAAAAAGGGTGCAAAAGACCATGTGGAAAATTACCGCCCCATCTCTCTATTCCCAATAGTGTCCAAGGTCTTTGAGCGTTGTTTGTTGAATGACATCAAGGACCACCTGTACCAGGTAATTTCACCTAAACAACATGGTTTTTGTACTGGAAGATCGTGCGTCACCAACCTGCTTGAGGCTCTTGACCTCATTGGTTCACTTTTAGATAGTGGCAGCCAGGTTGACACCAGCTACCTCGATATGTCAAAAGCTTTCGACAAAGTCAGTCACAGGCGCCTCGTCCATAAGCTAATCCAGGCCGGTTTCGGTGGAAACCTTCTTAACTGGTTCTGCTCCTACCTGTCAAGTCGACGCCAACGCGTTACAGTACTCGGCGCCACTTCAGAGGATCTTCCTGTTACCTCTGGAGTACCTCAGGGTTCCATACTCGGACCAGCCCTCTTCCTCTTATACGTCAACGACCTTCCCGAAGTCATCAGTTCTAACAGTCGAGTATTGATGTTCGCTGTCGTCTCGAAAATATTCAGAGAGATAAAGACTTTGGGGGATGACTCTTCTCTTCAGGAAGACCTTGGGAGGCTTGCAACTTGGTCGCAATCATCCGGTCTCCTTTTTAACGAAGCTTAGTGTAAGGCGTAGCACATTACAAGGAAAACAAAGCCGATCTTATCCTCTTACAAATTCACCAACACCGCACTTGAATTATATGCTGCAGACAAATATCTAGGCGTTTGGATTAGTAAGGATCTGACATGGTACAAACAAGTAAACGAACAATCTTCGCGAGGTAATAAACTGCTTGGATACTTAAAGAGGAACACGAGGTTCATACTTAGAACCAAAGTAAGACGAACGCTATACCTAGCCCTAGTTAGGCCACATTTGGGATACGCCACCCAAATTTGGGCCCCACAGTCCATTGAGCTCATTGTCAAGCTTGAGCGTATCCAAAGACGCGCGACTAAGTTTATCTTAAAACTGCCTTATTCTTCTAATATAAGTTATAAGTCTCGTTTACAAACTCTTAACCTAATACTTATTTGTTACTGGCATGAACTTTTAGATCTAACCTTTTTTTTCAAATTGACACAAGGTGTTGTTCACGTGAACTCCTCTGATCTGTCCTACCCGAAGTTCGCAAATACGGTAGACGCAGTAGATCCTCAACCAGCAATGTTAATAAATACATAATTAAGAAATGTAAAACAAGTACTTACCAAAAGTCCTTTCTCATTAGAACTAGTAGAATTTGGAATTGTTTAGTGGATGAACTAGATTTGAGCTCATCGACCTTAGCTTCCTTTAAATCGGTTATTTTTAATTATTATAGGTCCGCGTTAGCTGTTTCCTATGATTGTGAAGACCCACGTTCGTTGAAGTCTATCTGTTTAAAATGTAATAGTCCCCGTCCCTTGTCTTGTCCAATAACTTGTTGTATGTAGCTGTAGTTTTTCTTGCATCGCTGTTCTTTTTAATATTTCTTGTTTTTACTTTTTTTTATTAGTATCCGGGCCCGCTGTAATTGGCCACAGCTGTTGCGGTGTCCCTGCCAACGTTCTTTCGGTTTGTCTGTTTGTTTGTTTGTTTTTCTTTAGCGATACTAATGAAATAAAAAAAATAAAATAAAAAGCAGTGTCTTAAGACATAGAATGGCGCATTTTGCCGCATGAGAAGCGGAGGTGACTAATGTTGGTGCGTTGAAATTTCAAGTTTCTATGTGACTAATGCGATAAATTCTATCGATGAACACTCCTTTGTGAGGTTGAGTGTGAAATTTATGGTTATTAAATTTACACAGAGACCTACATGAAGAAAAGGTCTCGAAATATATAGTGCAAATTTAGGTTTAAATGTAGGGGGATTGGCTTATTTAAGCTTTTTAGCTGTTATTACGTGTAGTGATATAATTTACAACGAGTGTAACTACACTCGGCCGCGATCAGCGCTGTGCGGACGCTGTGCAGGTTGTGAAAAGACAACAATCGAAGGTATGTACGTGGCCAAACAAATAAAAAAAATCGTCCTTTACTTTGGTATGAATGTTTGATGGCCATGTGACCGGCCGATGCCAGGGCCTTTTCCCGCCCCACCTCCAAAGGCAGGGAAAAGCTCCCTGGAGACGAGGTTGAGCAATCTAAAGAGGGTACTACGAACCACCAGTGTCGCTATGCAGGATATGGGCTTGCAGTGGAATCCAAAGAAGTGCACCGTTACCCAGGTCAGGAAGGGCAAGCAAGCAAAAGATGCAGCAACCTCAAACTGGAAGAGACGGCTTTGGTCGAGAACTTTAAGACTGAGGCCAAGTACAAGGGTGTGAGAGAGTCCGTGATGCAAGACGAGAAGTTAGCACTTACAGTTGCAGCAAAGACGGTAATTGCAAGGGCTCTCAATAACCTGAACAAACCTTCTGTCCGACTCCAACCGCGTCGAGGCAACAAACCAGTTCATGTAGCCTGTCTCGAAGTACCCGATGTGGACCCAGCTACGAACTAGGGTCTAAATTTGACCACTCCCGATCCATCGTGTAGCTCACAGAAAGCTTCCGAGAAGAGGATCAGTAGACGCCAGGTGATGCAACATCTTAAGTTAGCTGTGGAAGAGAAGCTTAACAGGAGAAGGCGGAAGACCAGAGATGGCAAGAACGTCTGCTGTGGACAATATGGGAAGACGTGCTGCAACACTGCCGCAGCTTATAACACAAAAAAGTGAAAGTCCCAATAACATTTTCAAGAGTCGATGCTGCTGTATTACCTTGCCTTTATTTTTTACCTTATATGCAAAATGAGCGATGAATATCATGATCAGTTTGTCTCCTTCATTCATCAACAGGCAAAAGAGGCAAAAGAGGCAAAAGTGAAGCACGAAAAGAAACAGTCCAAGTTTAACGACGACTCTCGTGAGTAGACAGCTTTCATAGATTGTCAGACCGACAGAAAAGAGACAGATTTATTGACTGATCCACTTTTATCTCAATTCGAAAATTTCAAAAGATACAATGATTTCTTTATGTGAAAGCTGTATTGACAGTATTGAAACAGAACTAAATAGTGATCTGCGACCAGTGTTTACGAGTAAAATATTGCCGATGAGATCAAAATTACAGAGGTTAAACCACCAGTAGTCAATCAGCAATACGTTAGTTGGGTATGAATGCAAATGTGATCTGTGTGATGCAGATTATGTAAGCTATACACACCGACACCTTTTTCAACGCGTTGACGAACATAAACATTCGGCGATTGGCAAACACCTGCGCGACGTACACAATCAAAAGCGGATAAAGATCTACGTGACCAATTTACCATCAAGAAATGCCGTGGAAAGCTGGATTGCTTAATTTACGAAATGCTCTTTATCAACTCAAAAGAAACCTAAACTGAGCACCCAATCAGACTCTATCAAAATTGTATTTACCTGATAATTAGCACCTTTTACACTTCATATTGCATTTATCTCTTTTAATCACATGCAACTCAAATTTCGCACGAAATTGTTGATACGTTTATAGCGCACATTTAGCCGTATAAATGCACAAAGGGCAGTTTGCGTGAACTGCCAAATTTTGGTTATTCATAGGGGCAAATAAGTTATTAACTTCTCAAAAGGGTGTGGTTGAGGGGGAGGGAAGATGCGGGTTCAGTGATGCAGACTATGGCAAAAATTCTTTTCCAAGACCACTGATTACTGTGATCGAATTTGGTTTAAAATTTTCTCTTTTGTTTTAAAATCAGTTAAGTATAAATTTTTTGGCTTTAGTAATTAAAGGTATATAAAAGGGACATTTCGCTTTTAGCCTGGGCTAAATCTATACATTATGCTTTCATGTGAATCTAAAGATTAAATCAAGCTCTACGCGTTTGGTTGAGTGTAAATCACTTTTTGTGCCGTGTGAGCCAAGCACGAGTCACGCTGCTAATGTTTGGGCCATCACCTGAGGAGGAAATCATGGTAGTTATACATGTAACTGCCTTTATTCCTCTTCAGGACCTGGCATTATAGTAAGCCAAGCAGTTAGTCGGCCACAGCCTGCGTCACAGAGACGCCCGCATGGAGCGTGGCCAATGGTCTAGAAGCCTGCGTTGCAGCCGGCCCACGCATTGTGTCGGCCATTTTGTTTTGTCTGTGAGGAGGCTGACAAGAGGAGCAATAGCCTTGGTCGTAGAAATTGTCATTAGCTACCGTACGTACTACAGTTTTATCGCCAAGAGAAATAAGTAGTTTCAAAGGAGGATAATAGGACTATTATTCTCTCTGGTCGGCATTATAAGCCAAGTGCTACGTTAGTTAATGTCACTTTAATGCAGGCCCTCCCTTTGCTAGTTATTTTTTTTCTTCTAGCCCCGAGTAACGTTATCTCCAGGCTGGAAAACAAACTAGACAGTATGGAGTCTGCTGCTGATGACAATAACAAAGGATGGACTACTCGGGCAAAGAACGGACTGAGAGAACTACGTACCAACTGGCTTCAGACTCCTGAAACCCGACGTGGAGAAATTGTTACAGCTCTTAACACAGCCGCTTCAAAGCTTGGAAAGTTTGCCAATGCTGGAGATGATGCCGTCGGTGCCATTCGTGGAGCTGTTGAAATAATAGCTTCTTTTGCTAGTCTAGCAGGGCCACATGGACAGATTATCAGCGTAGTTCTTAATTTCATTTCAGGTTTTCTAAGTCTGTTTGGAAAAGGGCCCTCCCCAAAGCCCCTTAGTCAGGTAGTTAGGGAAGAAATCGAAAAATGGTATTCTCGAGATCTTAGTAACCAAGCTGAAGGTTCCATTTTTGATTTCCAAACGTCCAGAGTGTTTTTGAATGGTGTTTCTAGAGCCGGAAGAAACCTTACTGAATCTGAAAGTACTGCACTGCCGTCCTATGTTCCAGTTTATAATGGTGTAGCATTTATGGGAACTCTGTCTTCCGAGATTCGTAATATAATAAGAGGTAACAAAGCCGGAGAAGCAAAAAAATGCTTGAAGTACATCGAGCTATACACTCGAATGGCAGTTTTGAAAGATCTAGTCTTGCAACAAATGGCCGCATTAATTTCTGATTCGCAAAGTAGCATTCGTGACGGTGTTTACGCATATCAAGATTACATCAGAAGTAGTGCAAAAGCCCTCTTTAAGTTTTTGTACGAGTCTGAAATCGGTAGCAACATCATTCCATACTTTGATCCAGATAAATACGAACTTACTGACGCTTATATGTCTGAAGTTCTGGAAATAGAAAATTATGACCGATCCATGGCTGGAAAGTATTTTGTAAATGTAAGGATGAGAAGCTCATATGGAAGGCTAGGGTATGTGTCGGCCATGCCTCTTGTTAATTATGAGGACCGAGGGGCTGACCTTGTGTTTGGAGGCAACTTTTACTGGAAACTTGTACCTCATGGGAAGAATTTGTTCAGCATCGTCAACCGGTACAATTGCCATGCGAACGACGGTCTTTGTGACGCGATGTTGACTTGGACTGAGTCCCATGGATTATATCGTGTAACCATAAAACACGAGGACCCTGCACTGTGGGAAATTACTAGGACATCAAATAGTCGTCGTCGTCGTTACAGGTAACTCTTTCTTTTATCTGTCACTAACGTTTAATTCACAGTTTGATCTTGAAATGGCCATCTTGTATATCTTGCCCGAACGAATTGCCCACCAAGATATTCCTGGGTACGATTGTAATGTGGAACTGGAGAAAGAAAGGAAGATTTATTTCTACTAATTGAATTGTAAACAGTGGCAGGATTAGCTTAGTCCGTAGAGCCCTTATCTGTAGAGCGTGAAGTCGTGGTTTCGATTCTCGGGGTCGGACCAACACCAAGGGTCTTAAAATAACTGAGAAATGAAGGAACTTCCTTTGCTCTGCAAATGGCTAGACCTTCGCAATTTGGCTTGGAGGACCACATACAATGGCTGTGCCGTTTCGATTAAGAGACACGAAAATTTAGTCTCCCCTGGGAGTACTTCCGTCCTCAAATACACTCAAATCCTTTTTGTTTCCGGTAGCACATTTTTTTACTCTTGTTTTCATACAGGATAAGATGCAAAAAGGGATGCAATGAAAGCCCACCGCACGCGATGTGTAATGCGGAGATGTCTTTTCTTGAAACGTCCATTGGTGAACATAACTATAAAATAGATGTCGTTATCATAACAAAGGATGGTGGAAAGACGTGGGGATTCAGAAAGGTAACTACTTTGATCAGGTTCTTCCCTCTTCCTCCATCCGATAATGTTATCGCATTCAATCTAAGACTTACTTATCACATGAAAGGGACTTCTCGGGCTTGCCTTTTTATAATCCCAGATCTTCTGTTTTTTTACAAGCCCTCGTGTGTCTTCGCCTATCCACGAATAACCTTCTTTTCATTCTCAACTATAATCAATTAAGCAACGCGGCAACTCTTCCTCATTCCCTGTTCAATTAGTAAAAATAGCGTTTTTATAAACTTCCTTTTTCCATCCTATCTATAATTAGCATTCATTGTTTTGAACATTCTGAAATTCCTTAGTTTTCTTTTAATCCGTAATCATTTGATTCTGGTCGTATTATCAGTTGCCTTTTATCATTAAGAGACTTGTGCTTCACAAATCTTTTCAGTGTTCACTGTTTATTATACTTATCTCTTCCTTCTCTTCTAAATCCGGGATTATCTTGTCTATCAAATAAGTTTATATTTTTTGGAATAAAATTATAGCATAATAAAGCGAGTTCTTTAACTCCACACTTTTTTTACCCGAGACACATCAGGCAAAGATCAAGACATTTTCCCTTTTGCCTTTTTAGCAATGAAACCGTCTTCCAGAGGAATGTCGCGACATCACATCGTGGAAGTGAATATGTCAACGCATGGATAATAATAAGGATGAAGCCAAGTAAATTACCCGAAAAAAGTCATGTAACTTACCTTTGAATTCGCTTTGATTCTTTTTAACATTGCATTTAATACAGAATCCCGATCTTCGTCGCAGCATGTTGCAAGGAGGGGAAATATTTTTCTCTGACCCGAAAAAGCCGATTAAAAAAGTAATGTAACTTATCTCTGAGTTCGTTTTGATTGTTTTTGTGACTACTAGCTCCCTTTAGGGAGCGTAGCCACTATCATGATGTCACGGCGTTGTGAGTAAGTCCGTAAGTCCGCAAACTTGCACTGGACACCCACTATCTTGGTCAGGTTGAAATTTTGGCAGCGCTTTAAAAAGCGGTTTAAAAAATGCTTTTGGCGATGGATTTCCACGGCAGAAGTATTTTGCAGAGAAAATGGAAGCGATTTGGACCAGCAGCTTTAAAATAAGATGAAAATTGCTGTATTAAAACATTTGTGATGCATCTGCGATGTGCTTCTGCCCCCTGCCCCACAATGATCGTATACCTGACGACCGTGCGGTACGGGGTTCGAGCCCTAGCAGTGAATTTTTTTCTTTCTTATTCGCCCTCTTTTTTCTTGGCTTTTTGTTTTTCTTTTGATTCCTAATTTAATTTTCTACAGCACGGTTGGGAGTCTTACCAAATTTAAGAACAGTCTTTCAGTGATTAGTACGATGGTTAACGTGGGGTCTGGATCGTCCAGGCGGTAAACTTGACGAGAAGATGAGCATTTGCTCTTGTACTCGCCAAGATCACGGGGGATATACCAATTCCAGCTGGCTGGAAAGTGATCTGAAAGTGAGAAAATGTGATGCTATGCTATTCTTTGAGAACCTGTATGAGCCGAAAGCGGATGTGATTTTGCCCATTGGCTTCAAAATAGCCATGAAATGCGTTTACATTGTTTTTCTACTGTCAATAGCCCGGTTTTTTCCCTGTCAATGACTCGAAAAACTTTGAGCGGCGTTTGCCGACGGAATTTTAAATGGCAAAGGCATCAAATAACGTGAAGTCACGAGAAGCCGATAGTGCCGAGTTCGAATCCTGCTAGGTGCCCTTCCTTTTTCCTTCTGTCTTTCTTTTGTCTCGTTTTTGCTTTGTTTTGTTTTGTTTGCGTATTTGCTTTGTTGTTGTTGTTGTTTTTTTAAATATATACCTAAATAACTGTTATTTAATAAAGTGCAATGAACAGCAAGGAAATTTATGGATAAACAATCTGAATTTCTATCGTCTCCTACGATTTACTGTGGGAAAACCAGATTTGATAACCATTTCATTATTTTCTAAACAACGTACCCACGAGTACTAGTTGACGATAGTCTTCCTTAGATTGAGCGTATTGCGAGAAAATTAAAAGTCCGTAACTTTTCTCTTCCCGCGAGTTTCACAATGGCGGACTATCATCTTACTCGTTAACGTTTTGGCGTTAACTACAGTTGTTCATTTCTCCCTCTACATTGTATACATTCATTTTTTACTGCAATAAATTCTACAAAACTAAAACTTTACAGTAGCCACATGCAGTCACAGAATGCCTTTTATTAATGTTGTAATAAAGGTAATTTTCTTGAAAAGGAGGTACTATCCATATTTCTTTTTCCAACTTGGCACAACTGACAGCCATGAATAGGGGATTGAAAAACTGCTACAATAAGATGGGTTCACCGTGTTTGTTTTCGCCCCGCTTGCCCTTAATTCTATTGTTTTTTTCCAAGTTGCGCGTAAAATGTTGGAACCTTAATTCATACCGTGACCACTTTTAAACGTTTAATGTGTTTAATGTCTTGGGACTTCTGGGTGGAAGGTCAGATGTCAAGACTGATCAAAGGCAATANCTTAGATTGAGCGTATTGCGAGAAAATTAAAAGTCCGTAACTTTTCTCTTCCCGCGAGTTTCACAATGGCGGACTATCATCTTACTCGTTAACGTTTTGGCGTTAACTACAGTTGTTCATTTCTCCCTCTGCATTGTATACATTCATTTTTTACTGCAATAAATTCTACAAAACTAAAACTTTACAGTAGCCACATGCAGTCACAGAATGCCTTTTATTAATGTTGTAATAAAGGTAATTTTCTTGAAAAGGAGGTACTATCCATATTTCTTTTTCCAACTTGGCACAACTGACAGCCATGAATAGGGGATTGAAAAACTGCTACAATAAGATGGGTTCACCGTGTTTGTTTTCGCCCCGCTTGCCCTTAATTCTATTGTTTTTTTCCAAGTTGCGCGTAAAATGTTGGAACCTTAATTCATACCGTGACCACTTTTAAACGTTTAATGTGTTTAATGTCTTGGGACTTCTGGGTGGAAGGTCAGATGTCAAGACTGATCAAAGGCAATAATAATTTCAACACGAAATGAAATCACCCACGTGAACCTGGGTTACCGTTACCTCTTACCGTTTTGCGACTTCACCAACTTTAATGATCGTTAGCAACACTGACAACTATTTTGTGAAAACTTCTTTTTGAAAGAGTTGCTTTAAAGAATAACCGAGTGGACTGGTTTGGAGTGTTACTAAGAACAGATGACATTGACCTGGCAGTAGAGCAATAAGAAATAAGTTTGAGATCAAATGGTTTTATAAATATAAGTTTATTAGCGATGCAAATTGATAATGTTGTTTTAATAGAATAGCCTTCAACAACGCGCGATATGGCAGCTCTCTCCAGGTCTCGCCTGGTTGGCTCAATGTCCTTGTAAAGAACAAAAGAATAAACAACAGAACCAAAACCAATTGCACCAAAACCACATACAGCTGCCCTGCTCACACTTAGCTTCAATATCATACCAGTCTAAACGATCCAAGTCCAGAGGTGGATCGTTCTGATTGCAATCTTAGATTGGTTTAGTCCTTAATGGGGCAAAAATCACATTTCGGATCGCAAAATCCTCATCGGTCAAAAGGAATGCAACTTGTAAAGCGCCATGAATATTACTTTGATTGTAATCCTGAATACTGATTTTGTCCCGCCAAAAACGAGTGCGCGCTAGACAAAAATGTATCAAGTACACATTGACGAGATTTCCCTATATTGTTCAGTTTCTGGTTTTGGCTTTTGATTTTTTTTACCATATTTTTAAAATAGGGGCACCATCGCTTTGTTTTTTCATTTTCTGTTTTTCAGTGTAAACACCTTAAACTCAAGAATCAAAACCTTTTTACACACAAAGTCAGGAATATGACAGATAAGTAAGCAAACAGTCTGGCCAAGATTTAGGTCTGTGCTGTTTTTTGCGCGAGATAAATTTTCGGAGAATCATTTCACTTACTGGCCAAATTTTGCAGATATTAGTGTCCATCCGAGGGGCAGCAGCATGTCATTGAAATTTGTTATAAAAGCGAGAAATCTTCATTCAAGAATTGATAAAAAAATACAAAACTTATTTTAATCAAGCGGGGCTCAGGTAGCTTTCTCAGCAGACTTGTTAGTGTAGTGTGACAAAACTGCTTTCTAACATTCGAATGTACTTTGTCACAAAACACTGTCCCATCATACTGACAACCTCTAAAGAGACAAATGATCAAATGTTCTGAAATGAACTACAGTCTCAGTAGGATTGATTTGCGAACCGTCTTTGTTTAAAACTGTGATTTTCTTCACATTAAATCAAGAATCAAGGATTTTTACCAAGGAAAAGATAACCTTAGCCAATGCATTGCTACTAAACGTTCTAAAATAATTATGATTTTCA